CCTGGGAATCGTTTTCAAGACCCAAAAAAAAGATTGTTGCCCGGTCCCGGACCAGTGGTTTCTTCGATGGGAAAGGGGAAAACGAGCCCTTTCGGGGGGGAGTCCAGGCGATCACAGAAATCTGCCCCCGCGTGGATGTTTTGCACGCCAACTTAGCATTCGTTCCATGTGAGCCAAGCAACCAAAGTCGAAGGTCGCCGATGAGGCTTCGAGTCAATCCATGACCGTGGAGACCGAGACGGTATCGTCGATCCCCCAGGTGGCCCTGGCCCCGAACTCCAAGATGGAGAGCAGCAGCGGTACTCTCAAGGCGAAGGCCAGCACGGAAACCATCAAGCCCAAGAAGGACAAGAAGAAGGTCAGCCGCAAGCAACCGGCCGTGACCACAGCCATTGGTGAGACACAGCATCTTCTACCGAGTCCCCATCCCAGACACTGCCACCAGTACTCGACGTCAACAGTGCCGGCGTCGTATGGCGCTGTCCTGACCCCCACAAGCAGCCGTGATCGAGGCCTGCGGGGCGAGGGCAAGCACAGTTCGCGACTGGCCACTGCGTCCAACGCGCGAACACCCAGCGCGGGACTGTATCACATGAGCAACTTGCTGACCAAATCTCGTTCAGGATCCTCCAAGGCCGACATTTTTGAAGCCAAGGTGGCCAGCGCGGTTGACGAGGCAGACTCGTCAGACTCTGAAGAGACCTTTGTCTATGATTCTAATCCTCCAGATGCCGGTGACAGGCCTCGCCGCTATCACTCGCGCACACCGAGCGCCACGTCGATGGCCAGCCAGGCCGACCGGAACGCCATGCGCTCGATTCATTCAATCTTGGAGAACGGTGGTGGCCCGCCCCCCGTCATCATGAAGAAGGGCATGAAATTCGTCAATTCCTTTGCCGGTAGCGGTGGCGAGAACCTGACCGCGGGCGAAGATGATGGCAAGGGTAGCGGACGAAGCGCCGGCCCGGGCTCAGGCCGAGGGACTGCGCGACATCACCACCACAACCTTACACACATTGGTCGATGGGGCCGAAACCCAGGCAATACGCACACGTCGTTGTTCGACAACGACTCGCCCTTCCCGAACGCAGCGCGGTCCAAATTCTCCGGGGTCCAGTCTCGGCAGTCATCGGGTCCGCCGAGCCCTCGATTCCTTAACCATTCGCGAGGGCCTTCCGGTAACGGGAAGAGGCCCTTGGTCTCGGGGCCGTCGTACGACTTGGACGATCCCACTACAGGTGCCGATGATGAGAGGACACCACTCTTGTCGCCGTCTATGCGCTCCGCGCGAGGCCGAAGCCGACGCACCCCCGCGAGTCTACGACACCTCGAATCGCAATCATATCGACAGCAGCCTTCGTATCTGAACCGTTTTGCTGCGTGCCTGGTCATCACCATGATGCTTTTGCTAGTCATCACCGGCGCGATCGGCTTCATGTTCGCAACGTCACAGCCCTTGATGGACATAGAGCTCGCATCCATCAAGAATGTGGTGGCTAGCGACCCAGAGCTGATGTTCGACTTGACGGTCAGAGCACATAACCCAAATATTGTCGTCGTGTCAGTCGACCAAGCAAACATCGAGGTCTTTGCCAAGTCGCCCCACGCAGGCTCCGACAGCGACTGGTGGAAGTGGCCTCATGGCCCTGAAATGGGGGATGGCACCGACTCTGACATTCGCGTCAAGGACGACCCCCCCGACGACCTGCCTGACGACGCACCAAACATGCGCCTCGGTACAATTACCGAGTTCGATAGCCCTCTGTCATTCGAGGGCTCGTTCTTCAACAAAGGCATGTCTTCCTCTACAGGCGAAATGCGGCTCAGCCTACCCGGCAACCATTCCGCAGGCGGGCTCCGAACGCTGGAGCCGCATTATCCAAGACGAGTTTGATCTTGTGATCAAGGGGCGTTGTTCGCTACAGCCTTCCCCTTAGCCAACGTGTGAGGAGCGCGCCGATTTCCGGTCGAGCTACCGTCAAGCCCAACTCGGCCAACGATCCCTCTTTTCAACTCGACGCTGCCAGTTGACGGGAGATCTCCCAGCCTGAGCGCTCATCGACCGAGTAGCTCTTCAACCCATTTCATTTGTCATCCTACTCATACCGTTTCTGTATATTGAGCGTTGCATAGCACGGCATACCCATTGCAAAAGCAGGCGTTTAGCGGGTCTCATCTGACCAGTAACAAATCCAGAGACCAGAAACCTTGCAGCGTTTCGTTGTCTCGGAGTTGCTCCCCAAGGTTCCTCTTTCAACATTTCGTTTTCTTTTTGATTGGCGAGCCATAATGACAGGCGCCGCTTTTGACGCTACAAGATTCCTGACCTGTTGTTACTGGGTAGGCATGGCCTATTTTTCTGACTTACACACAAAGCGCCTCTGACGAGGATTTTCTTTCCCCTTTTTCATACTTGCGTTTCGCGATCCATAGACGGACAAAAAGGGCAACTAGGTCAATCTGTAATTTTAACGACTTTTTACGACAAAAAAAAACCAGCTTGAAAGAGGCGGGGCGATCGGAGGGCCCACGTGGCTGGTGCTATTGCTAAGCCCGGGTCGCAGAGGAGGTCCGGATGTCCGGAGTTTGATGTCGGTGGTGGCTTTCCCGTGTATCTAGGGACAAGGTAGAAGAAGGATAGACGACCACGCGTTAGGGTCAGGGAGGAAATTGAGATGCTTGCCACCTTGGCAGTTGACCAATCTGCGAGTTCCTTGCTCACTTTTCACGTGTCAAACTACGCGCAGTATCATCGCCATCGCACAGTGGGTCGGGTTGATACAGTCTCGTAACAGCGTCGACATCATTCATACCTAACGAGTATACAGAACAGAACTCGGTACATGTATGTGTCTACATGACCGAATCGTCAAGCCATGCGCATCTGACGTTGGGGCGAACCGCCACAGATTCCTCTCTACCTTGACGACTGCTAACCCCCCACCCGAGGAAACGCTGCCAAGTTTCGCCCAGTCATCATCTCTTTGAAACCCCCTCCCCTTAGCCCGGCGCTCGATCATCGCCTTTGCTCGCCCGTCAGATGCATATCCCAGGTAACATGTCCAACATGAAAACTCGCACATGCAAAAAAATGCACATGAGCGAGGGAGACTAGTTTTAGTATGAAATTGAAAAGCAAAGCAGTCATGTTGTCCCCCGCCCAGGTCCTGCTGAAAGACGAAGTCTTTGGTATGATTTCGTCAACACCGTCGGTCATGAAGAAGAGAAAAACGTTGGTGCCGATCGGATCTATGTAACAAAAAAATTGGGATCAGCCTTTGCGTGGCATTACTCCGGGATGGTCTCGCCCGAGGCGCGGCTCTGCGCATGGTCGGCGTGGCCGGGGTGGGCGGCTGCTGCGGCTGCTGCTGCTGG